TTGCCTCACCGTTGCCGCCACTGAATTCTCCACCTCTGTACGCTAAAAACCCAACTAGTAGGTCGTGTTGAGATTGTCGGTTTCGTCTGTCCACCGTCGGGGTAAGCATTTCAACCTTTTTACTTTTTATTATAACGATTTTAGTTGTTTTGAGCGTTAATTTGGCTTGGTAATGTTGATTGGGTGATTTTGGAGTAATCGATTACTACTCCCGACCTCGTCGTTGTCGCCACGTGCTATCGCATGCATGTGGGGCTCATTCTCTAACCATGGCCCTTCTAGAAATGGTCCAGGTGGACCAAACTGGCCCAACTCGGTCCGAACCGAGTATGTTTGACTTGACCAAGTTAATTCGAATCGAATTGAGTCAACCCAAACCCAAACCAGTTGACGTTGACTTTGACTTTGATTTGACGTTGACTTTGACCAAAAAGTCAATTTTTTTGAAAAGTTATATTTTATGTTTTTCGACGTCCTGAGTTCGAATCCGAAGTATGTATTGCCAAATTCAAACCCAAAAGACTTCGAAGTGACCCATAAAGTTGAATATGCATATGTAATTTAAGTATTTATTTAAGTGTATCTAATTTAATTAAAGGGTTAAGGACTAATTTATGTTATTGTATATTTAAGATATTTTTTGATATCTTGACCCTTAATATGCTCGACTAGATTCCTCCAGATCTGCTCATCAGTACGAGCCCATGATTACTCGTCCTCGTACAATCGAAGAGCATAGTGAAGCTGGTGCTCGATAGATCTATCAGATTGATTTGTTTTATGAGGTGTGTTCTTGTGTACCATATAATTTTTTTAAATATCTGTTTGAAATACCATGTGAACATGATTATTTTCTCTGATTTGACTATCGTATGATTTATCTTATTTAAGTATGATTCTTGACTTACTATATTTTAAATCATGCTTGCTTGACACATGTTCTCTGATTACAGTTTTTATTGATAAATAAATATACGTTTGAACTCTTATTTCGTGCTACCACTTGTTACTGTTTGAAAAATATTTTTCTTTGGGGTACTATGGGATCTGATATGAAGTCTCTACAAGTTCAACTTCGATCAAGTTGGTAATTCCTTATATAGGTTCAACACCGATCAAGCTAGTAATTCCTTATGGACCTAAGGCGACCCTTGGGTGGGCTCTTGGCCCCAATGAGCCCAGTGGTAAGACATTATGGACCCTAAGGTACTCCTTTAAGGTGTGTCCTCGGGTAAGTCATTATGGGCCTGAGGGCACATCCCTCAGTGGGCCCATACACTTCGGCTAGGATAAGACCTTGTGAACCCAAGGTGCTCCCTTAGGTTGTCACCTAAGCCCTTTGGGCTTAGGGTAAGTCCTTATGGATGCAGTTCTAGGGAGATGCATATGGTGTACGATTGAAGGGTTGTTCAGTATTTTAAACTACAACTATACTATCATTTTCATAACTTTGATAATTAATTGATTTTAAAACTTAACTGTATGTTTTTATTTTGCACTGCTGGAACACATTGAACTCCCTAGCTCACTCCCCCAAACTTTCCCCTTTTAGAAAATTTCGTACAATATTATTTTGTTGTAATGTATTTATCTTCTGAGGTTCATTTATTTTAGGTGACATGTGCCTATATTTTGAAAATACTCGTTTTACGACATACATTGCTTCTGCTACCGATGTTAGATTTGCTTTGATACTGACTTGTGGAAGATTTGGTTTTACTCAATCATTTATAGTTTTATATATATTACTCGAATTAGAACTTATCATTAACTATGTTTTTAAAAGATGTTTATTTATAATATGAATTTAAGTTATCGAAGAATGTTTTGGAAATTTTTATTATAATCTGCTAGATCGGGTCGTAATGCATAGGCCGTTAAATTTTTTTATTATTTTTAACTAATTAATCTAAATTTTAATATTTCAATGATTTTTTATAAAATAATATTTTTAATTCAATTTTCATTATATATTAAAATTTATTTCTTATATATTATTTTATTGTACCAACCGATAGAAAATTCTTTTTTTGGCGTAATACACTTTTTAGTACCTAAATTATATCTCAAAATATGAATTGGTGCCTAAAGAATTTTTTTGCTAACAATAGGTGTCTAATGTTTTCTTCGTTATACTTTTAGGTGCTTACAATTTTTTCTATTATACTTTTAGGTGCATAATGTTTTTTTTTTAAATTTTTCTAATAATAAAAATTTTATTTTTTTAAAAAAAGAAAATTTTAAAAAAATAAACCCCATCCCGTGTCATCCCTCTCTCTCCCTTCCCCCACTTTCGACAGCGAAGGGTCAATAAGGGTCGGGTTTTGTTTGGAGTAGGACGATGAACTCAATGGTGGTGGCCATGAAACATACGAATGGTTGTAGCCGTCAAAATCTCTAAAAAAAATAACAACAAAAACCCTATAAATCTGACGATCATTCTTGGCAATTTTTCACGAGATCGGTGCAAGTTCACGATGGATGGGGGACTGGATTTTGGTCAGTGCGGCGAGACAATTTTATTGGTTTTAATGGTGACGACCAGGGGCTGACGGTGGTCGATCGACGATGGAAGATGTAAAGGGTTTTTTGTTTTTTAATTATAATATTTAGTTTTTAAATAAAATAAATTTTGAAATTTTATGTGTGACCTGTGTCAGATAACGGTCAAATTTAATGACGGTTACGGTTCAGGCACCTAAAAGTGTAACATTGAAAACATTAGGCACCTATTAATAGCAAAAAAAATCCTTTAGGCACCAAATTGTATTTTGAGGTAAGGCTTATTACACTATTTAGTGCCTAAACCATACGTCAAAAATACGATTTGGTACATAAAGAATTTTTTTACTAACAATAGGTCCCTAACATTTTATTCATTATACTTTTAGGTATCTCCCATTATATTTTTAAATTTTTTAATTTTTTAATAATAAAAATATTATTTCTTAAAAAAAATAGACCCCGCCCCATAACGTCTCTCTCCCTCTCATCCCCCACCACCAACGACGAAGGGTCGCCACTGATCGCATTTTGTTCGAAGCAAGACAAGGAACTCAACAGTGATGACCTCGTAACATACAAAAGGTTGAAGCCATCGAAATCACTGAAAAAAACCAACAACAAAAAACATAGAAATCCGGTGACCCTTCATTGCATTTTTCACGATGAACAACGTAGTTTCACGGTTGGTGGGGGATTGAGTTTTAGTCGCGATAACGAGACGATTCTGATGGTGTCAAAGGTGACGATCACGGATCGACAATGGTCGATCTGCGACGGAAGATGTAAAATTTAAGGTTTTTTGGTTATTTTTTTATTATAATTTTAAGTTCTTTTAAATAAAATAATTTTTTAAAAATTTATATGCATGACACGTGTCAGATAACGGTTAAATTTAACAGTTGTTACGGTTTAGACACCTAAAAGTGTAACATTACAAACATTAGACACTTATTGTTAGCAAAAAAAAAAAAGACATTAAATTATATTTTGAGGTATAATTTAGGTACTAAAAAGTGTATTAATCCCTTATTTAATGGCCTAATGTTGTCATTCTACTTTCGGTGGACGGATCCCACAGCCTTTTTTCCATTTTCCCTTCTCATTTTAATGAAAGCACTCTTCCGTGAATTTTTATTGTTACTGTAAACGATAGTTTGCAATAAATTAGCTAAATATAGATTTTTTATTAAAAAAAGGGTATAACTCGAAATTAAACAATGAGAAAAATGTTTATTTGGATCCATCCAGGATCTCAGATCTGGTTCGTTTATGACCGTCCACTTGCATGCATGAAGATCAATGTGACAGCTCATTGCTTGTTATTCACTCGGCATTTCACCGTCCAATTATTCAAGTACTCTGTTATTGATGAAATTATTATATTTTGATTTTTTTCTGAAAGGAGAGTATTTATATTTTATATTCATATTCGAATATTTATTAATTCAAAACTTTGAATAAAAAATTAAGATAAAACTTTATAAATTTATTTTAAGAATAATTTTAATTTTTATGAGAGCAAAATTTTAACGATTAATGTTTAAAGCCAGAAATAAAATAAAAGATTTTAAATGAATAAACTGGTTTAGATACTAAAAATAAATTGCCAGCTTAAATATTTCACCCAATTTTGTTTAAAAATATAGCATTCAATAAATACTCTGATGTGTAGACCATTACATCGTTAGTTGGACCGACCTACTTGGTTGATCTACGTGGCAAATCCTTTTGAGAATTAAGAAAATTACCAAAAGGTCCTCCAGTAAACGAGACCCTTTCAAAGTGGAATTAATTATTTATTCTTAATTGAACAGGCTTGATGGATTTATCAAATTTGTTTTTCTAATGGAAGAAAAAAAAACTCAAACCATGAATTAAAAAATATTTATATTATTTAATTACGAAAATCGTAATTTCATCAATAGGGCCTTTTAAAAAATAGTAAAAAAATAAATAAAAGAGAAAATAAATCTCAGTTCAAAGCTAGGGAAAGCCAAAAATCATGATTTTTACGTATCACGTGTGTCTCCTTGATACCAAACCATCCCTATTTCACCATAATATATATGCGCATTTTTCTCAATATTTTTGTATACTATTATACTAATGTAAATTGAAAATAGTGTTGGAAAAAAGTTATATTTCTAACAAATAGTTTTCTAAGTAGGGACGATAATAGATCGAGTTTTTAGTCTATTTGAATAGGATTTAAAATTTTAAATTTTCTACTCGCACGTGACCCGACCTAAGTTTAAAAGGGGTCCATCTAATTCAAAGCTCGATCTAATATTTTAGATTAAAATCTATACTCAATCTGGCCCAACTTAAGTATATAAATCATTTTTATTAGGTAAAATAAAGATTTAGTTAAAAAAATATTAATTATTTCTAGGAATATGAAATTACCGTCCTTATTCGTAAGTTTGCTTGACATGTTTTTTACTATAAATCTCACACATAACTCACCAGAAACCATATCATTTCACATACAAAAAAACATTTCTTCCCGTTCCAACCTCTTTGCCTCAATCTCCCCTTTCCCACCAAAAGCAAGCCCCTATAATCTATCAAAACCATGGTTCTGGAGCGAGAGCTATCGAAGAAGGACGTGTGCGTGATCGGTGCCGGACCGTCGGGGCTGGTGGCGGCAAGGGAGCTAAGGAAAGAGGGTCACACCGCTATCGTCTTGGAACAAAACCACGACATCGGGGGCCAGTGGTTGTACCAGCCGGACGTGGAGGCGGAAGATCACTTGGGGAGAACCAAATACCTGAATGTACATAGCAGCATGTACGATTCGCTGAGGCTTGCTTCCCCCAGGGAGATAATGGGGTTCACCGATTTCCCATTCTCGGTCAAGCAGAACAGGGACACCAGGAGATTTCCAGGTCACAAGGAGCTTTGGTTGTACCTTAAAGATTTTTGTGAATTTTTCGGGTTGAAAGAGATGATAAGGTTTAACACTAGGGTTGAATACGTGGGGATGTTGGATTATGGTGATTTTGGGAAAGATCTAAAATGGGTTGTTAAAAGTAAAGAGAAGAATGGTGAAAAAACTGTGGAAGAAGTGTTTGATGCTGTTGTTGTTGCCACTGGTCATTACTCTCACCCCAGGTTGCCTTCCATCAAAGGTAAATTCTCTCTTTTTAATGGCTCGAGTTATCTATTTTATTGATCGTGTCACCCTAAAATTTGACGAGTAGGAATGGATGCATGGAAACGGAAGCAAATTCATAGCCATGTTTATAGAGTTCCGGAGCCGTTTACAAATGAGGTAAACTCAAACGCTTAGTTTTTTTTGTATCTACATATTTAATTGTTCGAACTTAAAATGAAAGAACAACATCCTTTTTCTTTCTTTCTTTTACTATTGAAACCGCTCAATAAATTTTTAAAACATATTGGACTTAATTTTGACAGGTGGTGGTGATCGTCGGAAATTCGCAAAGCGGGCAAGATTTATCGATGGAAATCGTGAAAGTAGCAAAGGAAGTGTACCTGAGTGCCAGATCCCTGGATATTACGGAGGGTTTATCTAAAGTCATTTCCAAAAATAGCAAGTTGCATCTTCGCCTACAAGTATACTCGTCGAATTTAATTCATAAAATATTCGATACGAGATGTTTGTTAATGGAATAAGTTCATTGGTTTGCAGATAGAGTCTCTCCATGAAGATGGAAGGGTTCGATTCGAAGATGGGTCATGTGTCATAGCAGACACCATCATATATTGCACAGGGTAATGATAATAATAATAATAGATTTGGACCAAAGTTTAATATAGTGTGAGGTTGAATCAAGATTTTATTTGGTATAATGAATGCTTAAGCTTTTGTGTACCAACTGACCAATAATGAAGCAGACAAAGTGACTTTAAGTTTCCAAATTAAAGAACATAAAAAGAGTAGAACAAGGAAAATGACCCAAGCAATGAAAACATTTTCTATTTTTTTTTAGTTAACCTATTTGTCTGATTGGGTTATAATTATTGATGATAAGTTAAAAGAAAATCATATATGGACATACCCTACTTTCACTTTCACATGATCTTGTTCAAGAATCAAAGCTGATATTATAAACATAACACATGTGTATCCCATTAATCATCCCCTATTGTTTAATTTAATATTGGTTTTAAAGAATATTATTTTAATAATTTTGGTATTGAATATGTTGGTTTATATGAGGAGTGTACAATGATGTGTAGGTATTCATACTCATTTCCATTCCTTGACACCAAAGGGAAGATAGGCGTAGAAGACAATAGGGTGGGGCCTCTGTTTGAGCATACTTTTCCTCCATCACTGCCTCCTTCCCTCTCTTTTATCGGCATTCCAAGAAAGGTATTTCATTTCATTTATTTACCCTTCCCCCCCCCCCCCTCATCATTATTATTGTTTTTTTATGGGATTTTGGTATTCCTTTAAGCATTGGTTTTCTACAAGTATTGTGTTCTTTTACCAAACTACTAAATAATTTATTGGGGAGGGGGGAACCCCATTATTATATCCCTACTTCCATTTAAAATTTGTCTCCTAATTAGATTAAAAAAGGATATGGGGGTGGTGCAGTTGATAGGGTTCCCATTCTTTGAATCCCAAGCAAAATGGATAGCACAGGTGCTGAGTGGGAAACGAAGGCTGCCATCATACGACGACATGATCCTTTCCATCAAAGAGTTTTATCGCTCGAAGGAACTCGCCGGCATTCGCAAATCAGATACTCACGATATTTGTGACTTCGAGGTATACATCTTTTTTTTTTAAATACTTTTTTATTTAAAATAGGTGATTTATTTTTTAAAGATTAATAATAAGTTTAAAATGTTTTTATGTAATTGAATTCGAGTGTAACTACTCAGTTGTGACAACTGACAACCATCTTAATTTATAGGCCTCATAAAATTGAATGTAATTGGATATCTCAATTACACACTTCAATTTTTGGTAGGGCTGAGAATTAACATAATTACAAGTGTGATTACAATCTTTAATTGTGCTATCAAATAAGATATAAAGAGTTATAATATAATTATACTATATTAGTCAAACATGTTCAGAACTTTAAAATTCTTATAATTATATTCACGTATAGTAATTATGTTTTTATGTAATTACATTCTAATGACCAGATAGGGGTGTTCAATTGGTCGTTCGGTTAACCGGCTGAACTTCTAAAATTTCATTAATCGAAATTTTTTCTCTAAACCTTAACCGAATTGAACAAAGTTCGGTTAATCGGTCGGTTAACTGAATTAATCATATATATATATATATATATATATATCTTAAATATTTTTTTTGTCTAATTCGGTTAATTTGGTCGGTTAATTCGATTAAAAGCGAAGTTTAAATACTCTAATATATAAATAATATATATAATATATTAAACTTTTAATAATTTCGGTTAATTCAATTAACCGATCGATTTGGAAGCGAGTTAATCAGTAACTGAAATTTGAAAAAATCATTAATCGTTAACCGACGAACCTAAAATTAACTGAAAAACTTTGGTTCAGTAGGTTAAAATGGTTTTAACCGAACTTTGAACACCCCTATGACAAGACACATTCTAACGGTCAAATTTAGGTCAGAAAAAGAATAAGGTTCAAGTTGATAAAAAATATAAATATTGAACGTTAAATTTATGATTGTGATTTTTATTTATTTTATATTATTCTAACAAACAATTGAAGGTAATTAATTAAGAATTGTGGTTGTTTGTTGCAGTATTGTGATAGATATGCAGATTATAGCGAGTCCCCACATTTGGAAGAATGGAGGAAAATATTATGCATGTCGTCGCTTTTAAATTACTACACAAATTTGGAGAGTTTTAGGGATTCGTGGGATGATAATGAAAAGAGTTGCTTCAAGAAGCTCTTCAAAGCCCCCATTTCACTCAACTTCAGCCTCAACCCTAGATCAATTTTTGATATATATAATATTTTACATAAAAAATAAAAAAAGAAAAGTTTCTTTTATTTTTTTATGGTTTGAATTTTTTCCCTTCAATTTTGCTTCATTTTAAACCTAATTACACGGCTTTGCTTGTTTAATAAATAAGTAATTTGCTTTAATATATATATATATATATATCCATTTGTATTTCTTTGTTTTGAATTGTAGAGCCATTGAAAAGTAAATCATATAGTTTATCTCATATTAGTTTATCTGCTAAATGTTAATAGTAAGTAACTTGATTGATATCAGTTTGATAGTTATGTAACATGATTGAAAAAAAAAATTAATGGATCAGTAACTATTCTGTAATTAAGTGGTTATTCATATAGTTTACCCGTTAAAATTTCAGAAGTTTTGTTGTTTTTCCCCCCAAAACTTGACCAACAATCGAAAATTTTCAAGTTGGTCCTTGATTTGAAATGGGTCTTAGTTGGGTAGATAATTGCAAGCCCGTATCAGGGGCGGATATACATGGCTCTCTGGGGAGCCATTGCACACCCATTATTTTGAGAAAAAAATTAAATTAAATTAAATTTAATTTGTTAATAGGAATAGGAAAAAAAAAAGAAAATTTACATACTCAAATCTTTTTAGAATAGGGTATTAAAATTTTGGACCCTCATTTTTTTAATTTCTAGATCCGTCACTGGCCCGTATAATGTTAGCCCCCTATCAAATGTTGTATGAAATATATGGTATGGAAAAAAATATCATAAATTGCTATATGCTTGATTTTCAATTCAGTTTAGAATGAAGCCTTGGGTTCAAAAGAGCGTATTAACATCCCCATCATTCACCAAACCCCATTGATAGTTCAGAATGGACTTCAATTCTCCTTGTACAATATAACTGTTAGCTAACCTGGAAAGTCTTTGAAGTTGCTGTTTCTATACTTGACTTGATATAAGCCGACGATTACTCTACTGACATCTTGGACCCCGAGTTCTTCTCGTTATCTAGCCTTATTCTATCAATCTTTGATGCGGTTACCTAATTCGCCATTACTGGGCTGCTGCTTCAGCAATGCATTCGTTGTATTGTCCATTGCATTGGAGGAACGGAGATTATACCGTCTCCTGCCTTTTCTACATCCACTTTGACCCACATTTCTCGAAGAACTACTTTCATGATGAGCATCGCCGGCTTTCGCTAACCCTCCAAGATCCTTGGTGCTCTTGTACCTTGAGAGACAAGTAAGGCTTGGAAGTTCACTTTGAAAGTCCACCTGACGTCTTCCCCTCCTCGTTCGGCCCCTGTTTGACTGGTTTGTGGAATGAATTGCACTCAATTCTGGTTCTTTTTGGACATTGCTTGCACACCAAGTATCTTCGCCGTTTATCTCTGGTAGGTTCAATGTCATGGCCTCAAAGTAATCTATTCCATCTGATTGATACTCCTCTTGATCACCATAATCCTCGACATCTATGTTAACTCCAAGTTCACTCCCTGGATCATCCGACACTGAAGAAGCCACCCTTGCAAACCAATAGAGTGAATTAGAAGCTCGAAACAGTTGGCAGGTGGTGTTTTCTAAACAAGTCTGTATCTTAGATGATGAAATGCAAACTAAAGCCTCTGCAGCGTTTCGGGCTAGTTCAGCTAGAAGATCCCTATCTTCTTGTCCCGAAAATAACAAAGTTGTTTCGAGCTGGTTTTCATTGGATTTGTCTCTAGGTGACGAACACTCCTTGTTTTCCAGACTTGCAGGTGGCTCCGAATCTACTTTTGTGCAGTGTGAAGGCATTAGCAGCGACTCATCCATTGATAAGCAAGAATTCAGGTCGATTAATCTACAACCTTGATACTTGCTGCAAGCTTCACTTTCTGCCACCGACTCGATTTGAGCTTCTTTTTCTCTTTCAGACATGGGATTGAATTCCATGTTGATATTTGGTATTCTATTTATATCTTTGACTTTGTTGCCTTCTATTCCAAGCATACTTTCGAACTCTAGGGTGTTGGTTGCCTCCATTTTTTCCAACTCAGCATCATGAACACACAGGGAACCAACGGCAGAATCTGCTGGAACCAACGGGCCTCTCGTTTCGCCAGATCTGTTGTCGGGTACAGGCATTTCAGCAATCCGAGGAGAACAACTGGTTGGATTTTGAACTGTATTTTCACCATGTGTATGAGAAGCATCTTGTGAACCAGTCACATTTGTGGAGAAATTCGGTGAGACAAAATCGAGTTCAGGGCTTATGATAAATGGTTTAGGACTTTTCCCCTTAAAATATGGAAGTGCTTGAACTGCAATAGGGCTCCGCTTGAAGGTAAATCTCCAGGGTGATACAGAAGTGGGTTCATAGCAACTAGAAGAGACGTCTCTCATTACGTGCCAGAAATTTCCGATGCATAGCTTTGCATCAGTCTCATTCAAGCCATGAAGTATTGCACAATCTTGAGCTCGCTCATTGTTAGTGTGTGCTGGATTGATAGTTTTCGAGTATAAAGATCTTGAGGCAAAGCATTCAAATCATTTCCATCTTGCCCTGAAAATAGTTGCCATCCATATAATATCATCAACAACAGTAATAAATTATGCAAGATGATAATTTAGTAAAAATATAGAGCATCCTTACCAGCTTTATCATTAGAAGGTACACATTCTCTCTGCATGGTTGTGCTCAATGTGGAGTAATTTTTGACGAGAACTGAACTCTGGAATAATATCTTCCTCAAGTTCGATGGGAACATTTAAGTCAGCCATAACTTTTAACTTTGAAGAAGCGGAACTAGTAACAAAGTGTTCTTCAGGGAAAACAGAGGCGCAACCAATGACGCTATGGGATAGTTCTTTATCTCCCCTATCTCCAACATTGATTTTCTTTAGAGCATTGCTAGGTATATTAGTCACTGCGGGATCAAATTTCACTTCTTGAAATCCATCCTCTTCACTATCAAAGTACCCATCAGCTGGCAGTTCAAGATCCAAGAACCTTCTGCCGAGCTTTTTGCAATTCAACTCCGTGAGAACATAGGCCTTTGAAGAACTTTCTCTATGAGTTGGATCAAGGCCTGCCTGCTCTTTACTTCCATCATATGAATGGGAAGGAAAAACACTACCTTCAGGTTCTGAAATTTCAGGAAAAACACTGCCTGTCTGTTGTGGCACTCGTAAATGATTAGATGACTTCGGACGTACAACATGATTCAGTTGGAACATCTCGACATTGCAACCTTGTTTAAAAAAGTCAATTGTTTTTATTTCATCCATTAATTCCTTCTGTCTCCTGTAAAGCCGGTGGAGTTCACGAATCTAAAAAAAGAGAACATTGCAGATGCATTAATATGTGATAATATGGTTTTAGATTAAGGATCACTAAGATGATTCTTATATAAGCATTGGTCTAAGACTCTCGCTTTCGAAAATTTCATATACACACAACAATTCTAGGACATATATCTCCGGAAAACACAGGAGACAACTAATAGTTTCCAGAACTAAGAATAAAATACTATGGTTTAAGCCTATGTAAAGAGTGCAAAGTGGAAACAACACACTAATGAAATCATCTGCAAATTATCTCCGTATAAACGACAATTAAATGATCTATCCAAAGATACAGAACTCTCCATAGATATTCAAAGGTCCAGCTAATTACTGATAGATAATGCAGGCAGTAACAAAACTCATTGCTTAGGAAACGAAGCAACGATTTAAGCACATAAAACATGATTTTTCTCTGGTTGTACATCAGAATACGTGGTTCATGATGAATCAGAAGTTTATCTTGAGAGAAATACCTGATCCCTGAATTCTGCTTCATGCTTGAGCATTGTCTGCTTTAGTAAGCCCTTGTTGTAAAACGTATTCGAACCCAAAGACGGTGGCAAAGTAGCATCAGTGTACTGCCTAATCCTCGAAATTCTATTAACATTGTCCGAGTGCCTCACAGTGCCATTAGCATCCGAATTAAGGTCCCAAGTTGTATACCACCCTGGGAAGGGACTCTCGTGCTGCACGTTTGCTTGCATCTGCAGCATTGCCATTAAAAGCTGAAGAACTAATTTCGACTGATACTACAATAGTTCAAACCGAGAAATCTCTTTATCATGAGAAAAGCAACCTGCATAAGTCAGGGAAAGTATATATGTTTTCAAAACTAATGGTCTCTAATTTCTATGTTGCTTCGACTCTTCCATGTTCAACATATTATGACATAATATCTGGATATGACCCCCCAAACAGAATGAAAATTTTGAAAAAATTAAACATTGGAGTGTCGGACACATTCTAATATCCAACATTCACACCCGAATCCGAATAAAAATAAATTCAAACTAAGATCACATTCAACTTAAGTTCCTCACGAGAGGAAGATTTAATCAAGCCCAAGGTGACATTAATCAAAATAACAAACAACCCCATGGGTGTATAGTCAATGTATATCTATCTTCAAAATATGGCAAATGGTTAGGTGTCCTAAATAAATTTAGCAGGGAAAAAACCAGGAGCACAAAATGTTTCTCTAAAACAAGTTTAATTCTACAAAACAGGAAGAAAACCGAGTGAAAACAATTATCAGGTTTCATACTAATAATTATACTAAGTTTTGAATAAGTTGTTAAATTTAGTGAAATGTATCTATGATCAGTCATCAATAGAATCAGGAAAATAATGAATTCATATTTTTTTTCTTGGTTTTAAAAAATAATAATAGTAATAAAAAACTGAAATATATCAACAGAACCACCAAAATTCAAGCAGTGAATTCAACCCCATGGTTAATAAATATATATATAAAAGAGAGCTCTCAACCATTAATCCCAGAATTCAGGAGAAAGCAATTACATTAATTTATATCTTCCACATTAAATAAAGAGTGCAAGAAAAATCAAAGTTTAGTCAGAAATCTATCCGTCTTCAAAGCATTAACACAATTCCAAATATAAGCAGCTAAAACATTATTAAAAATCCCCCAAAAAAAGGAAGAAGAAGAAGAAGAGAACCCATGAAAGCCATTAATGATCTTACCTCAAAAAACAAATAAAATCAACATTTTCCCTGAGCTCATTGACTTAGCCTTCTGCAAAGTAGAAGAAAAACATCTTTAGAAATGAATAAAAAGCATAGTATGAAAAGAGATGAAGTGGGTATTTTGTGAGGATGAAATTGGAAACAATGGTATCTGCGAGGTCCCATTTTTCTATGAAAAAAGAATCAAACGGAAACGAATTAGAAATAACTTACAAGAGAAGCGAGATCAAAGTTTTCAAGAGAGTAATAAAACATATTTTTTTATCATAATTATTTCTCCCTTTCATATCTCTTTTTAGTTTTAACACCACAGAGTGATATTTACAATTTTGTTGAGAAAACAATGCTTTTCTTTCTTTCAGATTAAAGAAGAAAAATAAATTAATCAGAGGAAAAGGCAACAGTACGGTTACAGGCAACTCAGGTCTTGGACGACCTTGATTTTTCCAAATTTTGAATGATTTTCTTTGTGGAGAAGTTTGAGCTTTTTTGACACAAATATTCATGTTTTTAAGACGAAGATGAGAATGCTTTGAATTTAAGTCTGAAATAGGTCTTGTTTATTTTAAGAAGAAATTTGACTACGGATAATTAGGTTTATAAATGAGTAAATTCCAGCACCAGAGTTTTACTCTGAAAAGTTTAAAGTTGAATTCGATTTAATTAAAAAAGATTAAAATTATTAAGTTCGATTTAAATTTAAAATTAAAAATTAAAATTCGACTAATTTAAAATAATTTAAACTCGAAACATTCTCAAATGAGTTATTTAATTCAATTGAAATTCAAACTCAAACATTCTTATTTTTTTTTCCTACGAAGGAAAAGCAGTTAGGATGTGCGACACCATTCCCCTCCCGATGAACATGAGTAAGAGTCACCTGGCAGTGCCAATGCAGCTGCGATGAAACATGTGGAATCATATGGGATGAGCCATTCATCGAAAACTCTTGCCGAAGCATCTGCATAGCCTCTTTACAATCCGTTTCGACCACTAGTCGACGAACACCGAAATTCTAAGCTTTCATTAACCCTTCATAGATATAAAGTAGTTCGTTTCAACTCGTTAAGAACTCGAATCTATTTCGAGCTCAAATCGAATCCATTCAAATCATATATTTATCGACCTTTGACCAAATCAGACTCCAAGTATCTTATAAACCATCTCCTCTCCCTTATAGTCCTATGAACAATGCTGAAATCCTGGCAAATTAGCAGTGTTATTTTGAGCTCATGATTAGGTGGGATACGTTTGCGGGGGATTTGTTCGGTTCGTGCAATCACTCAAAATTCATGTACTAGAGTTCAAATTCCAACCCCAAATTGTGGACTCTGATCTCTCATCAAATATTCGTTTTCTCTTGTGCTTCAGTAAAAAATAAAATTCAACCTCAAGGAACCACAAATCTTTTGATTTGAAAACCCAAAAAACAGGACAAAAATGCAGTTGCTGTGCAGTTACTTAATAAATATCTCATATACAAAACCAAACAAGCAAAAAGGTAAAGATAAAATCCTCTCAACATAAAAGGAACTTTATTTTACTACCAGCTAAATCGAAAGATTTCCATCATACATCGACAGGTGCTGCATCTTCGAGTACAAGAGTCTTGGCTGGCTTTCCTAACAGATCAGTGTACTCATGGAAAGGCGGCCTTTTGAAGCGAGTCTCTTTCCAGAAATCGGGTGTCAAGAAACCATAAGTCTTCATAAGACACTCAAAGGTGGCCTGCAAATAATCAACAGATATCAACCCGTAATCGATCATGCAGCTCTCGATAACCATTCAGCAAATAACATATTGCCTACTGAATCAACTTGGTGCCTTGAAAAATTCAATTGATAACAACCCAACAAGAAGAATCACATATTCAACAACTCCATAAGAATCAAAACAGAACAACTAGTACCACATGATCCATTATTAAACCAGGCATAAAGCTAATATGATGTTGAAATCAACAACTACTCATTTCGGAAACACGAAAAGAAACAAAATACATCACGACCCGTGCCCAGACTCAAGTCCGGGCGTTGGTTATACATGTCACAAGAGATAGAAGCATGATTTAATGCTAGGGATCGGAATTATAAAATTTTTGGGGACGAACAACATAGTCAATGACCAACTAGCCTAAACCACAATATCCATCCAGTTAATTCAGAAATATAAACCTCACAGCATGTGATTCAGATCATTAGAATATCTAAATAGCTCAAGCATTGCATTAGTATCAAATACCAGGAACCAAAACATATAACAACCCATTTCCCAGTAAATTTAAATGAATCCATTAACAATGTTAAAAAATTAAAATTATAAATAAAACTCAATACCTTGACAAAGTTACCAAGAGTTTTAGTAGAACCCCTGAAGAAGTGAAGACATCTTCAATCCCAGCAAATTGAAACACCTTCTTGGGCACCCTTGCCGCCACAATCCCCGCACCCCTCGGAGCCGGAACAATCCTAACGGTAACGGAACCGCATTTCCTGGTGACCTTACACGGCACTGTATGAGGTTTCCCGATCTTGTTACCCCAGTAACCTCTCCTCACAGGGATCACAAACAACTTCGCCAATATTATAGCCCCTCTTATAGCCGTCGCAACTTCTTTGCTACACTTGACACCCAGCCCGACGTGTCCATTTCCGTCGTCGATGACGACGATGGCCTTGAAACACATGCGCTAACTGACTCGTGTTTATCATTCTATCATAAAAATCGATTTAATAAGCTAATATTCATAATTAATTTCCTTTGTAAAACTAAGCCTTCATAATTTAAACAAAAAAATATCTTAAACAGACTCGAATTAGAACAGCTAGAAACTTCTTTAATATACATGCTACTATCAATAAATTAACATACAATATGTCCTTACTGATTCTGGTGGCATAATTGATTCCTCGAAAATGATGTTGATGTGCTCCCTACTTTTCCTTCTAGCTTGTATCTACGTGTGAAACACTCACACGCTAAGTTTTCACTTAGTGAGACAACCAAGTAAAATAAAATAAATAAAATATTTAACGTATAAAACAGACAATATCATATAAAAACATTAATAAAATAAAATATGTATAAAATCATATGTTAACTCGTTATAAAATTATTATAGAAATCTATAATTAAGACATATTGTACCATTTTAGATCTGTACTTTTCTATTTCAATTCACATCATTGCAAAATTGTACTTTTCTTTTCGAAATCAGATCATTTCAAATCCATATTTTTTTATTCATTTCAGATATTTGCCCATTGTATTATCATGAGAAGATAACGAGTGAATGTGCCATATGCAATCGAAACTGCCAGAACATATTGCACCGAGTCACTCCACCTCGTGCACCACTAATGTAACACCCCTAACCCGTATCTGACCCGGATCCGAGTCCGAGGTGTCACATTGACTTTTCAAAGTATTTACTTTTACAAAGTGACTAAAAATTTCATTTGACATTTATTATAAAACAGAAAAATTCTATTATATAAAACATATGATTTTACAAAACCTATCAGAGCCCACTTGATCCAAATCTTTAAGTACATGTCAACTACTTTCAATAAAACAAAATACATATAATTCAAAATTCTTTTTTGATCTGATATTCGGAAAGGAGAAACTGACCTGTCTTGCTCCTCTCTGCTCCTTAATCTTCTCGAAACCTATGTGTGAAACATTCACACGCTAAGTCGATGACTTAGTGAGGCATAATTAAACTTAAATATAACATCTCATTATTATTTCCTACTATGCACACTTCATGTAATCATATTAAATTATAAAGCATATTATGCATCAGAACATAAATACATGCGTATCCATATCATTTCATTATCCTTATTATTATTCTTATCATTATTAGCATTATTATCATTTATATCTCTTAGTCACATGCTCTTGTACCTAACAATATACACATCATCATATAGTTTCTGTAACACATTTCATATCACAAAACATATATATCACATATAATATATTTGTTATTATCTCTTTATTAGCTCATGTACACATGTGAGAACTAAAAATATGTGAGTACATAGAGGTTGTGCACATATGCTATCACCACAACTCGTATAATTCCCACTAGGGGCGCGTAGGATTTGTCCCGAAGGACCACATATCACATATGTCCCGAAGGACCACTCCTTAAGAACCATATACATATTCCAATGGACCAAATAAGTGTACAAAGTACCGCATATATGTTCCAAAGGATTATATATATGTCCCGAAGGACCACGTAGGACCCTCGACTCTTGGCATGCCAACTATACCTCTAGCCCTCATGACACATAACATGGGCATTATCATTTATCTTATTTCACATAGTCATATCACATAGACACATATTCTCATAACTTCTTATCATATCATGTGGCTTATATCTTGTGATCATATAATCGTATCACTTATAATCACATACTAGTTCATATTCACATGGCTTATCTCATATGCATATGTTCACATACTTTATAATCACATAACTTATACCTTTTCACCCATGGTCACATAAGTCAATATTATATAACTTATTTCACCTTTCATATATTCATAGAGTTTATTATCACATCATTGATATCATAATCACATCATATGCAATAACATATAACACATACATCATATCAAACATATACTTACATTCATGAGTTCATGCATTCTAATAAAGAAAATATACTCGTTGTAAGTCTTACTTCCCTTAAACCTCGTATACTAACTAATATGCACTCACCTGGCCTCACTAGTCAATGTCAGTCTCTTATCTCTTCCTCTAGAACTATTACTTGGTTGATTTATTTGGACTTTGCTCTCGATCGTTATCTACACGAATACACAATCCAATAAATACCGGGATTCGAATTGCTTGCAAAGATTCTTACTATTGCAATCAAATCAAAGTACTAATTTCTCCTTTCCAACTCAAGTAGTATCGGTACTACCTTCAAAGTACCTTCACAGTGAAACATCCCAATTTTATGCTATGCACTCATTATAATCTTACACCACTTTTCAATTTAACCCCAATTTCGCATTCTAACAAAAATTTCAGCATTGTACCCTAACTTTCCAAAGCCTATTTATTAATCTTTTAAATTTTCCAAACTTTGTAAAATGCCCCTAACAACTTAACCAATATCTTGTTTATCCAAATCATTCTTTCAAGCACACCAAATCATTTTTACCTTCACTCTAAACCAATAGGAATCTTTTACAAAATTTTTCCTTAATTTTCTCCATTAAGCTGAAACTTTGGAGTATTTCTCCTAATGGTCTCCATTTTGATTCAATCACAATTTAGTCATCCACATACCATTTCCAATCAATTCCAATCAAATTCAAAGCAAAACAAATCAAATCAAATCAAATCAAATTCACAACAACATCATCATTGGCCGAAAGTTTCATATTGCTCATTTGATGGTCTTTAATTAATATTCATGCTTGATTTCAATTCTAGAACACTACCAACATCCATTTCTAACTTTAGTTCAATGAATTCAAGTCTCCCCTTCATTCACCTAATTCACCCATTTCCACCATTAAAGCATAAAACAAAGAAACAATTACACCAATTTGTAGAGAATTTAATAAGGATTATTTTCTTATTTTACGCTTTAGCCCAAAATCTTACTAAATTGGACCAAAAATGAACAAAAAAAACCAAACATACCTTGGCTATGGTGACTCACGACAGCTTGCTGGTGAAGAGGAACAATTCTCTTGAAAATTCTAAGCAAAACCTCTCTTAATTTAGCCTTTTAAAATCAATTAAAAATGATTTTTTATTCATTTTAGGCCAAAAGTCTAAATTAACATTAATGAATTCCCAAAATTACATCCATGCCACTCATTCATCTCCATTTAATATTATTAAATAACCATAAAAATCTCATGTCTAAAATTTTCTTTTTGACACTCTAATTTTTAAAAAATTTAATTTAGTCATTAAATTGCACT